GTTTATGATTTTTGGCTCGCTATATATAGACACAATTTTCTTGACGCGTGGTTAGAAAAGAAGCATAAAACGGGCACCGAACGGTTTTACTAACAGTCGACGTATTTCGTTACCTACATTGGCAAGGTATTCAGGGCTGAATAACTAGATAAGCAGTATTGATAGTCTTAATCCTGAATGATGGTTGTTTATCACATTTTTCATAACAGATGACTGACTGCACCCCAGCGTTGATATACGCCAAATGATGAAAACTACCCGTTGCACTTTTGGTGTTTTCGTGCCAAAATCTGAAGGGACTCTTGTTAATAACCCTAACCTGGCGCTGTCTAATGTTACTTACTGAAACAATCGTCGCGCCAACGTCAGGTCTTCACTAATTGCATGGATTTTATTCCGGAGATTCAGCAAGACAGCTACGGATTGCAGCCAGCTGTTTTTTCACTACGAAATTCCTGGGCCGTTTTATATGTTCTTCGCATATAAACTCTGTTGAAATCATTTCGCATTTTAATTTGTAAACTACATCAGGTTGCTTGAATGAAATTTCTTTGGAAGAAGAAACTTCCACAGTGTCAATCCCATCTTTCTACTAGACGCTAACCCCGAATTGCACATGAACCGGCATGGAACTGCTTTATATCCGAATCCAGAGCTTTGCTTTGTTTGTTACGACACCACACTGTTCACGCCGTCAGAATTTCAAATAAAAAACCTAGTATTTTCTGAATAGGAAATAATTGCCAAAATTTGACATAAATATTTATGGAAGGACGGAACGAGGTAGGGAATAATTGTCTTAAGGTCTTCATGTGCCTTTGAATGAACGTATATAGTCAATGCATTGCAGTCGTGTCTTGGACCTAATCGAAACTAATATAATGAACTAAAACATGCAGTTATAATAGATCTGGTACAGTATATTTGCTGAATTTATAATCGAATAGGTTATTTCTGAATACTAATTAGTTTTGACTATTATTAATTAGCTGGTAAGCAATAATGAATTGGATAGAAATTGGTTGAACCTGAATCAGTGTCTGTGCCTCCCTTGACACCGAAGTTCTGGAAAAGGTACCAAATAAATTAACAATACAAAGTTAAGAGGCGCTGTGCATTGCCGTTAGCTGAGAAATATCAGTTATTCAAGCTTTGGAAGGACAGCAGTGTTTGCAAAAACACGAAGATTTGGATATCCAGGACTTACTTTCTGAACATGTTTCTGTCTTGTCTGAACATGACACAATTTAACTAAGCTGAAGAAAAAAATTGAAAGCGACGAAAATGAAAATTTTAGAAAGTGGAGTGAAGAAATGAAGTGAAGTTCAATGGTATCAATGAAATGTTGTGACCTGGACTCGAATGTTCTCCCAAGAGAGAGATGGAACGTCGAACAAGTGACAGATTGGCTGCAAGTAAGGCATTTGCAACGATTGGGCTATTTTCAACAAATGAGCGGTAGCCGTCTCCTTGCAAAGCGGATGCTGAACGCAAAACTTTATGGTAGGAAACCGCTTTTAAAACCTTCAGTAAGATTTAAAGGTCTCTTTAGAACTGACATGGCATCAGAAGGTTTGATTAGTGAACACGCATTTATTCGATCCAACTGTAATGCTTGTACGGCACTCGTCGTCGTCGGCAGTTCAGTGAGATAGCAAGAAAAATTAATTAATTATTAACGCTTAGCTATTTCTTTGCAGTTCATTTAATTTTCGGGTCGAACGACGATAATACTGGGTTCCGGCTGTGACTTATTTAAAACTACTCCTACAGCCAGGTATACAGTAAGGACAGGCCAAGCCGCATAAAAAGAATAACGGGAGTCTTGTTGGATTAACTCTTAAATTGAACTAGTCTTAAAGAATTTTGTCTTATTTTATTTACGGTGGTTAACTAAAAAACTTTAATGAAAATTGGCTGTAAAACAATCTTGAAAAAGTGTGTAAATTCTCTTAGGATGATTTTTTTCACCGGTATTTTTGGATTTTAGTTCATGGCAAAAAAGAAATAGGAAGCCGGTAATAAAATATTACTTCAGACAATAAAATGTTTTTGCCTGGCCATGTCATCGGAAAAATTTTGTTTCCCATTTTCGCCGAACGATTCATTTGCCATAACAGTGCTAAAAATGACTCTATTTTGAGGATAGAATGATCGCGAAATAAAGTTGCTTCTTCCAGATGAAAAACTCGAACGCTTGAGCATCGTTTCCCAGTTATGTAGCGTTGTACGATTCTAGACAGTCTGCTTGAATATGTTTAACTCTGTTGTTTGTGATTGTTTGATTTATTATTTATTTATTTATAGAACAGCGCGTAGTCCGAATGGCTGAACTGGACAAATCTGGGCTGCTGGTGCTTTCGGGAAACTCACATCCTGATTTGGCAGCATTGATAACGAGGTTCTCTAAATTTTTTATTTTTTAATATGCTCATATATTGTTTTAGACGCTTGAACATTCCGGAATGTGAAGTCAACGTATACAATAAACCAAATCGCGGTATGGCCTGTAAAATCTGGTCTGAATCTCTACTGTTTACGGAAGTTGTTTTATTTTCAGAAACCGTCGTCGATATCAAGCAGTCTATTCGTGGCAGAAGCGTGTTCATTATTCAGACCGGCACAAAGTAAGTTTGTATGAGTTGAACCATACTAAATTGAGAATTAGGATAGCAAGGATGCCGAGGAAGATGAGGGTGATAATAATGACGATGATGGGAACATGAGGATATGCATAAGAAAGAGGAAGTTGATGATAAGCTTTATGAGAGCGAAGTTGGCGAGGTTGAGGGTGAAAACAGCGATAATGAGGATGAAGAGGTTCAGGATGAAGAGTAGGAAAGAATGGGTGGTACCGTAAAGGTTGAGGGGAACTGAAAATTGTTGAACTGTGGTGTCGCGGTAACGGTACAATATGTGCAGTCAGTGAAAATGGCTACATGAATTTATTGAATTTTTTTGGCAGGGATGTCAACAATAGCATAATTGAATTGTTGATCATGATCTACGCGTGCAAAACATCGTCGGCCAGGAGCATCACCGTCGTCATGCCGTATATGCCATACGCACGACAATGCAAAATGCGAAAGCGTAGCTCCATCGCATGCAAGCTTCTAGCTGACATGATTGTCAAAGCTGGTAGGCACATTCTATCATGATGTAGGGTGATTAACGCGTATAAACTCATAATAGATGGAGTATTTTGTTCGAGCGTTAGTTGTCACGCTGAAAAAGCAGCACAGAACCGTTTTATTGACCCCAAGATAAATATCTATTCGCTGATAGCCCGATATTATATTTAGCCCAGTTTCACACAAGGACTTTTATGGTGAAAGTTCGGGAAGGGTTGGGGTTATCTGCAACAACGGTTTATTTTCATCCAAGATGTTAGCTGTAGATCTGAATAACTGTGTTCTGCCCATGATAAACCCCGTGGTGTTATTAGCCCACGATTTAGATTTGGTTGAACTAAACAGAACTGGGTTCATCCTATGCAATATGAGGCTACGAATTTATCGTTCCGATGGACATAACGCATTTACTTACATTTTTGCACCTTTCCTTTCCTGTTTTTTGTAGAAAAATCCTTCTGATGCTGTGTATATTTTGCGCCTTTCATCCTTTTTACGTTTTTTCTCTCTTAACTGTTCTGTTAAGGTGCTCAGAAACTGATAACAATGGACTTGTACCGAAAGGAGATTCAAGGCTTCTTCTCTGTTCCTGTCGATAATCTGAGGGCATCGCCTTTCCTTTTGCAGTACATTCGTGAGAAGGTAATGAAAGAGCAGCACCGTACTTTTAATTGAATTTTTCTGTTTGGTAAAATCCTAGATGTCCATTCCACTTTTGCAGCATACACAGAGAAAAAATAGAATCCAAATTTGAGTAAAGAAACAGATAGCATGACAAGTATTTTCATGATTAACACAGTTCATAAATATATAAAGGAGAAAAAAAGGAATGTTTGTAACCGTTAGAATGCCGGTCTTTATATTTTAATGATGGGGACTTTTTCTTGAAGTTAGTGACAGGGCGTTTACTAGTGAGGACTACCTTGTTTTAAAGACAGGGTCCACAACAGATATGTGGCAAACGTGATAAACAGCAAGTAAGTGGTCTTCTATTTCTTTTCCACAGAGTTGTGCTCATCTGTCAGCCTCGGAAGGAAGACAGGAGAGTAGCCTGGATTGGAGCTCCAATCCCGAACCTCTCTTTTCTGAGTTCGAGACTGTACAAACTGAACAATCCAACTATATAAGCAATGCGTAGGCCTACCAGTCACGGTCAAATAATATTGTGTGATTGAGTTATAATCTTGGAGGATGCGATTAGTGTAGAGTAATTAATTTTTTGGTGCAACTCTTTTGGCCTAAATGCTACATGTCTGGATTTGGGGGATATGCTTCGCGACAGGCGGTGTGAGAATCTGTGATACTAGGAGTTTTTATATCTTTTTGTTGTTGTTTGATATTATTTGCTAGGTATCTTGTTCCCCTTTTTCGAATATCTTCTGCTAGTGTTGATATGACAATGTGCAACGCCGAATCTGAGGTATTCTCCTGCTTGAAGGAGTGTTGCCACATCTTAGATAACGTTCTTCATGGAAACTTTAATGAGGCATGCATTCAAGCGGTTACAGAGTTTCCCTTCCTCGATTCTCGCATCACGTGCAGAGGCGGCTGAAACTATTTTTTAGATTCGTGACTACAAAAATGCCGTCGTAGTTGCCAAAAATCCTGGTGTCATGAACAAAGCCACGTCTTATGCAGAACGTTTAAAAATTGGTACACATTTTGCTTTTATGACGGAACTCCAGGACTGCATTTTTGTTGTTTATTTTCTATGCTTAATTTTTAGTTTAGGTATTGCAGTAATTCACGGCGAGCCTAAAAGTTCAGACCTGGATCAGATAGATGGACGTAGCAGTCCACCATCCATCCTAAGGGACAGCGAAGGTGCTGATGTCCGAACTCTGGATCTCTTGGCCACTGTGGCGAAAGAAAAGCCACCGGTCAACGTAGTCGGCGACGTTGGTGGCCGCATTGCGATCATGGTGGTAATGAGTCTGTTTTTCCTAAAGCGGGCGCTGCCAGGATTAAGTTTTGCAGTCATTAGCAGCTTGTTAGTTATCGACAGTATCCTCTGCTGCGTCTGCGTAACCCAGTTTCCATCACAGTGTCCAGGCTATGCATCAGTTCTAAACCAGGGAATGCATTCGTGGCTTACTTCAGTGTTTATGACTGTGCAAACAGTGAGATCCGTGATGACGCCCATAATGAAAATTGTAGATTAGTGCGACATGGCTACAGGCTACAATTGCAGATATTGCCATGAGGCATTCGATTACTGCCCTCTGAACGTTATTGATCTAAATGTAAACGCTACGACCATACCTACTCCCTGTTTAGAGAATTGAACGTGCTGTGAAAAGATTTGATTACTCTTTATTTGGCCGAAAATTTGAGGGTACTTTCCAGTCCTTCTCTTCACTTTATAGTTAGAGTAACTCTAGACATGTTCACATTGGGCGACTTCATTACCTGGCACGGGTTTCATTTGCCGTAATAAGCGATAGTTTTCAGTTCATCGCAAGCCAGCATTTTTGCCACAGCGGTTGTAAGGCATCCATTCTGCATTGGTTCACCATTCAGACCGATACATTAATTCGGTCGTTTTCTGTCTTTGCGGCGCAGACAGAAAGTCTAGAATTTTAGGGTCTGGAAATTGCTTCTGTCTCTGATCCGGTATTTCTATAAGGCTCCTTTATATGTTAAACCATTTTGTTTCGTCAGAAGGTGTAAACGTCCATGTTTGATTTCGGGTACTCATAGGACGATATCATCGATGACGTCAAATCTTTCGTCATAGCTGCGGAAGTTCTGAAAAAACGAGGAGCATACAAAATTTACGTCGTTGCCACACATGGATTGCTCAGTGCCGATGCTCCGCAGTTGCTTGAGAACTCAGCTATTGATGAGGTAAGTAATTTTTACTCAGGATTGGTTTAAGTTTGTTTGCCATTTCCCATATCTGTCTACTTCGTTTGTTGCCTGTGTTCTTTTCTTCCTGGAACATGTCTTCCCGTCTCTTCTACGCTTTGAAAGGTTTCTCTTATGCCTTATATCGCCTTTTTCCCGGAATTTTCTATCTTCTCCCATATTTGTTTATTCTATTTACTCTTTCAACTGCTTGTGTATTGTTCGTTTTTATATAAATAATCGCAAGTACTTCTTCTGGCTCTGCCTCTCTAGTGCCTAGTGCTGAAAGATCCCATAGGCATCTACGAACTCGGGACAATATCGAGGTTGCTGTGAAACCCAGTTTTGAAGGAGCATTCCAGTTTTCAGTGTACTTCAGCGTACGTACACATAAGCGAAAGCATACAAAAAGATAAATTGCTAAAGAATAATTAATGATGAACAAGATGTTGCTCTAGTCAATGAAATGATATGAGACTGATTGTATATTCCAACTCGTGAAGTGCCGTTCATTTCTGATTTGCTTAAATGCCTCCTCTCCCGTGCATTTGGAAACAGGGGGTCGTGCCTCGTTTGGAGGAATTCAGAGCTTTTTACTTTTCTGACAAGTTCCTATTGCTTATCTTATTTTTGTTGCTGTTCTATTATCACTGAAGACTTGCAGAGATTAAACAGTCGAATAACTTAGTTTTATTATCTCTGATTTTTAGAAGTGGTATTTCAGATTGATATTAGATAGGTGTCATTGGTTTAAAAAAGATCCTATTCCACTGAAGTGCTATTTCAGTAGAGGTAGGTGTTTTATAATATCCGTGAAAAGTTTAGTGCCTTTTGAAGTTTGCGTCCATTATTCACCGAGAAATTAATAAAACGGTAACGATCGTTTCTGATTCAGTGTTTACGCCTGTCGGCACATGATCAAATTGTGAATCATATATTTCAAATAAACTGTTGCTTTTTGGTTGAATTTGATGAAAAGCAGTGGAAAGATTTTGATTGCAGCCAGCCTTTAATATCAGCGTTCTTTTTCACTAGTTATAATGAGCAAAGTCGTAAACCCAATAGTAATAAAAACAATCAGGCTAGTATTAGCAAGGTATAGATACTTAACAACGAATATACGACTAATCGGCCAGAGAGGAAGCAGCTTATATCTGATTTTTATGGTTTACTTTTCCATCAAACTTTAAAGGAATGTTTTGCAACTATCTTTATTGCATAACATCTGATAAACTATCCAGATGTTCGTGCAGTCTGTTTTTTGACAAATGCCTTCATATTTAAATTAAATTGGATGCGTTATATTATTAATTTATGGCGATTTTCATAAACCCATAAAGCAGATCTGAATTAATCATTAACAGCTATAGTCTGCATAATGGCCCCTTAGACATCTCGGAACAAGGAGTCGAGATGAAATTCGATTTGATGAAATCCTGGATCGCGTATCAACTCCCTTTGTCGAATGCGGAACATGTTGCGCCATAACAAGCATGTAATAAGTAGTTCCGCTCTAACGCTATGAATAAGTCAAATTAAAACGCTTCGATTTCCACTTTACTGACCTGTCATTTTACTTCAAGTGATTTACGTACTTGTTTCTGCTTTTGTCTTGATATTTTCCGGGCCTTCTCAGGTGCTATAATGATACCTTTATTATAGTGCTGAAACTAATTCACAATAAAGGTTTACCGTCGAATTGATTTCGTCCCATCAGTCACAGATCAACATGTTAGCTTCCGGCACAGAATGGAAATCTTCATCTTTCATAACCGCTTCTCTTTTCTAGTCGTGGACGCAGACACGTCAGTGCTGCCAGCGTTCTCGAGGATGTGCCAGAGTCTGAGCTTCGGCAGCACACAACCGGAGTATCCAGGAGGCACCTTCCATATATTTGCACCCTTGTGCTTCTGC